ACTGTTTTTTTGAGAATATTTTGTTTTGTTTTTAGTGCATTTTGTTTTGTTTTTAGTGTATTTTGTTTGGAAGTCGGTTTTGTTTTTTTTTGTATGTATTGAAATAACTCAAAAACTATTGGGACAATTTTATAATCTCTTTTACCGTTAGAAAGTTAAATTATCTGGGAGTAACATAAGCTATATCTTTTTATTTATTTATTTCATGCGGACGAAGTCGCTGGTAGCAGTAGGTAGTTTACAATATGTATAGCTGTTAGTCGCGACTTTGTCCGCGTGAAAATAATAAAATGTTAAAATATAGCCTATTTTAGTCAGTGATAACGTAGTTTTTTAATATTGAAACAATATTTAAAATCGTCCCAGTAGTTTTTGAGTTATTTCAATACATACAAAAATACAAATCTTTCCTTTTTATAATATTATTATAGACTAGCTGTTGCTCGCGATTTCACCTGCGTGAAAATAAGAAAATAGTAAAATATAGCCTATGTTACTCACAGATAAATTACCTTTCTAATGGTGAAAGAATATTTGAAATCGGCCAAGTAGTTTTTACGTGAATCGAATACATACAAAAATAAAAACCTCTCTATATAATATTAGTATATAGATGTATAACATCGAAAGTACTAAATTAAGTCTTATAATGCAAATTAAAATTAGTTAATAAAAACTACACCAAGAATCGAATCTCATCCCCTTAACGTAGTAACCTACAGAAGGGCAATCTGGCATTTCTTTCTCTCGTATAGAACTTTCTCTTTCTGTCGTATGTGTTTGTGTGACGCCCTTTCGTGTGTATACACGGTCCTGTGAAAGGTGGGCGTTGGTGTGTGTAATACAGGTATTGTGATTAGTGATGTCACTTTAAAAATTTTGCAGAACTTTAGGGAGAATTTAAAACATTTTTTCTTGGCTATGGCGAAATATTTAGTTTCAATACTCTTAATTTTATTCTAGTTAATTTTATACAACATACTATATCCTATGTGGGGTAACACGAATGGATAAGATACGAAATGAGTACATTAGAGGAAGTTTGAGAGTAGCCCCCATAGTAGAGAAGGTAAGGAGTAAAAGATTAGCATGGGGGCATGTTATGATGAGGGATGAATCGCATGTTACAAGGAGAACGTTAGTTATGAGTACACCGGTAGAGGTAGACATAGAAAGAGATGTGTGAAAGGTGACATGATCAAGAAGAGAGTGACTGAGATTACGTATGATAGAGTTATTTGAAGGACGAAAATCCGCTCTACTAAAGGAGTAGGATTAGGTAGATATGATAAATCTACATATATTCCGACGATGTGCTGTTCAAACAAGTGAGAAAAGTCGTTTAGCAGTTACTGCGTGCGACACGAGAGAGCGCTAGCGTCGTCTGTCTTGCGTCGTCGATGCCAATCGATAGGCTCTAGCTCGCGCACGTCCAGCTCTTCAACTTTTGAGCAATTAACTGTGTGAATTAAAACTTATTAAGAATAAGTACTAGTCGTAATCTAAATTGGAAAGGACTTTTAAACACATTTAGGAACCTTTGACAACACTATTGTCGATTGTTTCACAGCTTTCAACTGTTTAGTTGCACAACTAAAAATCGAGTGTTCACCTCCACATGAGGTCTACTAGACTAAATAGTTGTGCGATGGTTCTGTCAAAGTTGTGTATTCTCTCTTTATATTTGAAATAATCTATGTAGAGGTTACAAGAGAGAACTTATAAGTGTTACCAGCACAGGTGTGTAAAATACAGCTAAAAAATCTAGTTTCAAACTTGACATGAATCTAAGTTAAGAAGTGTCTATTAATGCATATTATTTTCGGGAGCTTTTTCCCTTTAAGGAAATTGTTATCGGGAGCTTTTACATTCGTATCTAGCAACACTAACACACGAACAACTCCGCGATACCAAATTCCAGTCGTCAGTCCGTGTTCGACCGTCGCTGAGAGTCTTGGTTAAGTGTGTGACACAATTTGTGCTTTTTCTGTGTAATCCGTGTTTATTAGTGTTTTGTGACATCCCAGCCTATTATACTTCGTTTCTGATATATAAGGTATGTAAGTATATAAAAGTTATGCGTAGTCTTTGAAACTAAGTTACGATGTGAAACATTTGTTTTGGATTCCCCTAAGTTCTGTTAAGAAATAACTGAATCGAAATGTTTTAATTGGCTTTATTAATCATTTATTATTTAATAATGTTACTTGTTAGTTCACGTGGTATTTAGCTGTACAGTTATTTTGTTTAAAAATTATTATAATTAGAAATGTCAATAGTGTAGTAGATACAGGTTGAAGAATAAGAGATAGTAGGTTCGAATCCATGGTGTTTTTTTTAGTATTTCATAATAAAATTAGCTTTTTTTTATTGTTATAAATAATTAAATGTATATTATATACTCAAGTAATTAAAATTATTTCGGATCTATTTTAAAGATTGATATATTGGTTTTGACGCAAGATTTGTATAAATGCAAAATATATAAAGCTGTTCCCGTGCGGCTTCATACGCATGGAATTATGAAAATTTTATTTCATTGTTTACATTTTTCAAATTATCAAGAGCAAATGTCAAAATGACATGACATGACAAACCTTGGTAATCTTGTTTCCTTGATGTTGGCAGCAATTTATGGCCTCTTTCCCACATTAGGGTTTTTATCCAAAATATTTATCCCCTAAGTTTAATGGCGTGAAAATATTTCGCCTAGAGCGTGACGTAAGTGTAGGGCATTTTATTAAAAAACGAATTATTCAAAAATATGCTGTAATTGCTGACATCTTAGGCAACAAAGAAGTGTGTGTTTACGCTTTATTATAATAGTATACTATAAGAAAATAAAAATAATTTGGTCATATAATGTTAAAGCTATTTCAATAAATAATCAAAAATGTCCTAAAAACCTTTTTTTAACTATATCAATCTTAACTATATTCAATATTTTTTATTTAAATTTCATTGTTTTGCATGGACTCCTCTCAGGTGAAGCCTTCCTCTAAGGTTTTCCACTTGTCTCTGTTTTAGCAAAATGTAAGCAATATAATTTACGTCAAATAAACCATTGTCAAAGAGGACATAAAAAAGCATAGGGTGTACTAAAATGTATTTCTTCGGATTTAACATTGCAAAGGTTTCTTAAAATTTCCATGTTGAGTTTTCTTTACTCGAATATCTTAACTTATATTGACATAATTCTGTCCTTTTCAGACTGTTTAAAAAAAAGAGAGATGGCACAAATCTTACTAATATTATAAATGCGAAAGTTTAGATGGATGGATGTTAGAGTTTGTAGCCTTAACGGCTGAACGGATTTCGAAATTTAGCATAGACGTAGAGGATAGTGTGGCACATAGGCAACTCACTTTTGTTTTTTAATTCCACGTGTACGGAGTCGCGGGCGAAAGCTAGTTATAATAATAAAGAGGAAAGATTTGTATTTTTTGTATGTATTGCAATAACTCAAAAACTACTGGGCCGATTTTAGAAATTAAACCGCTAGAAAGGTGATATTTTTAATTTATTTTGATTTCACGCAAAGTTGCGAGCAACAGCTAGTTTAATATTAGTAAGACTAGAATTCGAATCTAAGACTGTAGTTAACTTAAGCTATCGGAACTTGAAGTTAAACAATTAAGTAAACACGACCGTGAATTCACATGAGTTATTTATTTTAAGAGACAGTGGTGCTCAAATTTCACAGATTATTCCCAATCGTCAACCCGCTCTGTCCGAACGTGGAAACAGATGAGAGTTAAATGTTTTATCCGTCTCATGCGACGAGGCGACGGTTGGAACTTATTTAATTTCTTAACGGTTCTATCTGCCACCTTATTGCCGATAGTGGGACAGATGAAATTTTGAACCGTTAAGAACACTTGAACCGTTTTTTCACGTGGGGACAGAGCGGAATGTTACGATGGATGGATGTTTGTTAGCGTTTGTAGCCTAAACGGCTTAACGTATCTCCATGAAATTTGGCACAGGTTTAGAGCATAGTCTGGAAGAACACATAGGCTACTTTCTATCCCGGGAAAAGTTACGGTTCCTGTGGGATTCATTAATTTAGTTTTTTATTGTTTACCCGATCATTCTGCAACGGTTCAACATATCTTATTGAAATTTGGCACAAATACAAAAGAAAGTCTGAAGTATACATGGGATAAGGTTCATTCCCAAGAAATGTCCGGTTCCCGAGGCATATTAGCTTTTTGTTATGTTATTATAGTTCGTATCTTTTCTAATACCACGCGGACGAAGTCGCGGGCAACAGCTAATCAACTACAAACAAGATTTATTTGAAAGGAAAACAGAGCGCCGAGTTGTCAGCTCTTCGATTTTTAAACACTAATTGGTACTTAAATATAACAGGCTTATTAATTCAAGTATCCAATTTAGGTCAGGTAACTCAACTACTAGCTCCCGGCTTCGTATAGATTTCTTACTACAACAGTGGTAGTGCCCGCTTTAACATCTTAGCACGGCACGCCCGGTGTAATACGACGACCACACAGAAGACAGCCGTGAAATTGAAACAATTCCGTGTTTCGTCTGATGAGTATGGTGCCGGAGGCGTAATTTAAGTCCCTTTCTCTTTATCACCCTTTTCTTATAAGGAGAGGATGGGAAGGGGAAGTGGATTTGACGGTGGAGGAGATGCATAGGAAGGGGCAATATCCTCTATATGTGCGTCTCCTCCTCCGTCGATTAAAGGTAAGCAACGCATCTGCGATCGCGGATGTCTATGGGCAGCGGTCGCTTCGTCATTTAGGCGGATTCAGGTGGCCGCTTGCTCGTTTGCCACCATATGTTATAAAAAAAAAAAACTATATTACTTCTTACTATACTGTTATCATCGCGACTCCGGTAGCGACCTTTGAGGAAACTGTTGCAAATAAGTTCTCCGATTGTCGATTGTTTCGCAATTCAACTGTTTAGTTGCACAACTAAAAACCAAGTGTCATCTCTACAAAAGGTCATAAGAATCAAAGCGAGACTAAACAGTTGTGCGATACTTTAGTGGTGCACGCTAGTAGATAGCCTATATGGTCTTCTAGACTATCTAGTTACAATCGAGATCTGTTCAGCAGTTTAGGTTAACTCTAACAAACATCAAAATTTTCGCATCATACTAATATCTTACTAATATTATAAATGCGAAACATAAATGGATGGATGGATGGATGGATATTTGTTAGCGTTTGTAGCCTAAAAGGCTGAACGGATCTCTATGAAATTTGGCACAGGTTTAGAGCATAGTCTGGAAGAACACATAGGCTACTTTTTATCCCGGGAATAGTTACGGTTCCCGTGGGATTCATTAATTTAGTTTTTTAATGTTTACTCGATCATTCTGCAACGGTTCAACATATCTTATTGAAATTTGGCACAGATATAAAACAAAGTCTGGAGTACAGATGGGATAAGGTTACCCGAGAAATGTCCAGTTCCCGAGGAATATGTAGCTTTTTGTAGTTTATATAGTTTGTATGTTTTCTAATACCACGCGGACGAAGTCGCGGGCAACAGCTCGTAATATTATAAATGCGAAAGTTTAGATGGATGTTTGTTAGAGTTTGTAGCCTAAACTGCTGATCGGATTTCGATGAAATTTGGTATAGATGTAGAGGATAGTCTGGAAGAACACATGGGCGACTCACTTTTGTTTTTTTATTATTCCAAGAAGACGTAGTCGCGAGCGACAGTTAGTTTATAATAAGTGAGATATGGCAGTTTGAGTAGCGTTTGGTGTAATTTTTATCAAGCACACTCGGTATTATTCAGTCCGTGGGAGCGTAAATATTGGTTTTTGATAACGTAACGTATCATTTGGAATACTTACAGTGAGGTTATATTGTAGAAAAACAGTGGTAGAGCCCTTCAACATTGCACTGTAAGGCTCGGTATAACACGACCACACAAGACGGGCGTCAAGTGAGAATAATTCCACGTACTCTGATGAGTGTGGTGCCCGTCTTAATAGTTCTTTACCCTTTTCTAATAATGAAAGGATGGGAAGGGTCAGTGGATGCGGTGGTAGACGAGACGCAGCGGTCGCTTCGTCTTTTCGATTAATTCAGATAGCCTCTTGTTTGTTTGAACTAAACTATCGCACAACTGTTTTGTCTTGCTTTGATTTCTATAAGCTTAAATGGAGGTGAACACTAATCAATGTAGATACTTAAACGCTACTTTACTTTCAATTGTCAATTGTTATGGTAAATGTAGAAAGCATTACGTAGAAATATCACTGCATACCTCGACTGACACAAAGTAATAATTGTACAATATAGACGTAACAGCTACAATAAGGTAGGTTTACTATTATCAAGGGATTATTTCGACACTTTTTAGTGCATTTTTTTTTAGAAACTTTAGTGTATTTTGTTTGGAAATCGGTTTTGTTTTTTTTATTATTAGTTGTGCAACTAAACAGTTGAATGCTGGGAAACAATCGACAATCTCTCTCCGCCTTTATTTCCATATGACGCCAAGGAATAAAGTCGACGTCTTTATGAAATCTAGTCTAGACGGGAAATGTGTTTCCTAGACGAGATTCAATTTGCGTTATCAATTCAATTTTGTATTCAATGAGTCGACTCTGTACTTTGAAAGAATGATAAATGAACATGTATATAAAAGGAGAATAAAAAAATACAGATTAGACATAGTTGAGACTTCATTTGAAAAATAAATATTTTTTTAGTTTAGTTTATATTCTAGCTGTTGCCCACGACTTCCTTCACGCAATATAAAGATAAAAAAGTAGCCTATAATATGCCCGTCTATGTCAGCTACCCTTCAGTGAAAGTCCGGTCGAAATCGGCCCAGCGGCCGGAGATTACCCGGGACAAACGCGGCTTGCGGACAGACAGACAGACAAATTTACAATATACATCATCTCGAAATCTGGAATTTTTCTTTTGATGTTACAAACAGACTTTTCAATCTATACTATTATAATAAAGCGTAAACACACATATCTTTGTTGCCTAAGATGTCAGCAATTACACCATGTTTTTGAATAATTCTTTTTTTAATAAAAAGTCCTACACC